GCTCCTTTGTCGCTAGGGTATCGAGATTGTGGAAAGATCTACATGAGCAGGCTTTTCCCAGTTCTACTTGCTTTAGGCAGTTCAAAATTCGGATCAAAAAAATATTTGGCCAAAGCCTCAACGTAAAGTGTGGTTAGAATAGACGCTATGATTGACCCGAGCAAAATTGAACTTCAAGTCCGTGAACTATTATTTCACTTCATGTCTCTCTATATACGTATAACTTCGGTGTCCATATCCTACTGAAAAACCGATAATATGCATATTTCTATAAAAAAAGTCATGGAAATAGAAGTGCACGCTATGCTGATTACACGGCAATTATTCTAATTATAAAAGCACATTCATATAACATGAGGCTGAATTAGTCCGTTTACTTCGATTAGTCAATACGGATAGAGCTCGATCCCTCTTAACCCCCTTTTTGGCGTGCAAAAAGGGACCTCAAGGATACTAGCGCCATCTATAGGACAGTAGCATAGCACAAAAATAAATTCAGAAATCCACCTTGGAAAGAGTCAGGGTTTGTTACGGGTTCAAAGTTAATCATACTCTTACCTCAGAATTCAATATTTATTGGCTGGAAAAGTGTAGACTGAGAACGGTTATAAAAGCTAGGTTCATAATATTAACGGCTCGCGCAGATAAGCGTTATTACGAGTTTTAACATAGACAGGAGGCAGTCACGAACACCCCGTTCCATTTTACGAAGATTACTTGTAGGTGAAATGTATTTCGATAGTTCGTCTGCAGAAGACGAAGCATTGGTTTGTGGAATTTGGAAGAGTCTAATTAGAAAAAAATACTAGGTGCATCCGATTAATTGTGAGAGAGATGAAAAAGGGGAGTCCAGTGTTCTTTTTTCTGCCGAGCCTGAAGATAAAGAATGATTTTTTATTTAATTCCGTATGTCATTAAATAGTTTTGATGAATAGCATGATTATATAAAAAGGGAAATAGAGAATCAAGACACCAACTGGAGAAAGGCTATATCTACAAAAGAAAGATTGGCAGATTTCCGTGGACATCACAAGCTATGCTGCATCTTTTTCTTTAACTATTTTTATAGTCTGCGTTACTAACATCATATAAAAACCGCATTTCCCTTACTAAATCAGTTCATTTTTGTATGGAAGCTATTTAGCGAATGAGGCGTTCCACGATTTGTTTGTATTTCTGACAATAAAACGCAAGAACGCGAGCGTTCATACTGACCGGCGCGGTCTGACTGCCGCTGTATCTGCGCGACTCTATATAGATCTATTAGTTACAAAGAACGTGGAACGCAGAACGCAGAACTTTGAACGCTTTCTGTCTGCGCGAGCCCTTAGTCCAAGCTGAGATCGTGGATAGTGGAATCGGCCCTGAATTGCACTCGGAAATCTTGAAATAACTTCTGTGACCCTGCAAAAGTTTCAGGATGAAGTTTAGGGCTGATTTCGTCTTGGACTAAGGCTTATGAATCTAGCTTTGGTAACCGTAACATGTTTTGTTCTGCTCCTGTCTCATAGATGGAGCCACAAAACGCATACGACTGAAAAGTGATATCAACTGACAGATGAGAAAATAGGCTACAGACAGGAATATTTACAAACAGTGAAAAGGTTATTACATTTTACATTGTTTTTTATTTCCTGTCATTTAGATGTCATTAAAATTTATTTTGCGATATCAACTAGAACATATACTATGTGACATATCAATCTTGTAATAACTGCTGTGACCCTGCGAACATTTCCGGATGAAGTTTAGGGCTGATTTGATCTTGGATTATGAATCTAGCTTTGGTAACAGTTCACAGTGACCTTTTTAGTCAATAAATCTTGAATTCTGTGGTAAGTGTCCGATTTACTGTAAGCCCGTAACATGTTTTGTTCTGCTCCTGTCTCACAGATGGAGCCACAAAACACATACGACTGAAAAAGTGAGAGCAACTAACAGGCGAGCAAGTAGGCTACAGAGAGGAATATTTACGGACCGTGAAAAGGTTATTACATTTTACATTGTTTTTATTTCCTGTCATTTAGATTTCATTGAAATTTATTTTGCGATGTTAAGTCTCTAGTATCAGCGTCTAGATGTGAGGCGCTGCGAAAATGTCTTATGTGTGATGCGTCATTCAGAATTTTTGACGAGGTTTAATTACACATTTTCCGTATAGTTTGAACTGTCTACATTTTTTTACATTAGGTTTTTTACGTGATAATCCCGCTCGTACTCCACTGTATCCGGGAGTCCAAATGGGCTTGCATGATACGGTATGGTGGATAAAAAACCTAATCGGCGTGGAATAACGTGATTATCCTGTCCCACCCGGGTGAAGTGGCCGATACAAACGTAGTTAATATTAATGCGGTCGACACAATCCAAGTAAATCCGATTAATTATTGAAATAATCGTGTGCCCGTATCTACTAATCGATTCGTTAGCATTGCTGCAGGTAAACAACAGAACATATTCGAACACGTTCGTGCACTTTCTGTTCTGATAAAAGAGATTTTGGCCTAGATAGTATACGTATATGTACCTACCATCAAGACTGGCAAAAAAAACGAATTTAATTTATATAACAAAACACTTCTGGTGAATTGGTGCTATTTCCGATGCTCTCGTGTAGCAGTTCAGCGGTCCACAACCCGCGGTAGTGAAATGATTTCACACCCACTGCTGGGTTTTATCGGGTTGCGGACATTTTGATAGAAATCGGCCTCCCTTTGTGAATTTTGAACTTCGATCTAAGGGAACTGTCTGCATTGATACTTCGAGGCGATCTTTTAGTCGTAGGACTTACGTATGTGAGGAGCAGTCTCCCATTTCTGCGAACCCTCATTATTCGAGGGTGCCCTGGCATTTAGGCTTCTGCCTGTGCGCCAGCTTCGGTGTAAAAAATATAGACATCTATAATTAATTATCTTATTTAAAAACAAAATTCAAAGTACTTATTCGGACGCCACCTATCGATTTTTGTTAGTTAAGAACAATTCTTCATACGAACACGACGGTCTCTCCTTTGGGAATTTCATTAATCAACTGCATTATTACCTTTTACTTCTCCGCTCTAACTTCTCATAAAATCACTTAACGTTTAACTTCTTCCCGCAGGATTCTCCTTCTCTCCCATATGTACCCTAATCGCATTTGAAAATCGACAACTCTAGAACTCGGAAGGTCTTTCAAGGTAATCGGATTCTCTTCAAGAAAAACTGGCATCTTAGTACACACTCACGATTTGATGACGCATGAATAAGAAATTGAGTGTCTATCAAACATATCGTCTAATAGCCAGAGAAGCTTTATGAGGCTGCTCAATCCGCCTCTCGTGCCCAAAGTGTGGGACTCTTCGGAAGAAATGTACTAGAGCTTCTCGGACATCCGCTATGCAAGGTCTGTCGCAACGCAAGCGGGACTTTTGAAAGGTATCCGATACAAGTAGCGCCATCTATTAACGGAGACTATTTTTCAGTGATGCCCTGTCAAAATTTGGTGACAACGAACCAATTCACGCGGAGTTATCGCGTTCAAAGTGGCAGTACGTTTTTAGCATCGGTCGGAAAAGGAGCATCGAACAAAGAGCCAATATTAAGTTATGGGTCAAATTTGGTAATACATTTACCGAAACGCGTCATATGTTGATGGAAGTGCATGATATGGTTTAATTTATCTCGCAGTCGAATCCACGAGTGGTTTACACGGTTCAAAGGGGGTCGTGAATCGCTGGCAGACGACGAACATGTTGACCAGCCAAAATTTGTTCAAATCATGGTTTCTCTAAGAGAAAGGGGTGGCTTCCGGCAAAACTAGCTGCAAAATAGCTTCAAGCAAAGCTGTTGTTTGTAACATGGTCGGTTCTATGGCATTTATCCCGGCAATGATGTTGTTTTTGAGTTCTTGGAGGGTGGCTGGTTTATTGACGTAGACTTTGTTTTTCAAATATCCCCATAAAAAGAAGTCCAACGGAGTCAAATCGCACGATCTTGGTGGCCATGGCACATTTCCTCTGCGCGAAATCACGCGATCACCGAAGAAGGACTGCAATCGATGGATATTGACGTTGGTTGTGTGGCATGTTGCACCGTCTTGTTGGAAATAAACATCGTCCATATCCATTCCTTCAAGTTGCAGCAAAAAATAGTCCTCTATCATCACGTGATATCGCTCAGAATTGACGGTAACGGCGTCCCCAGACGCATTTTCGAGAAAGTAAGGTCCGATGATGCCTTTTGACCACAATGCACACCACACAGTCACTTTTTGAGGATGCATCGGCTGCTCTTGATACTCACGGGGATTTTCGTTCGCCCAGATGCGGCAGTTTTGCTTGTTTACCGTCCCATTCAAAGTGAAATGCGCTTCGTCGCTGAACATGATTTTGATGAAAAATTGGCATCAATTTGGCGATGTTCAAGGAGCCAATCTGAGAACGTTCGGCGCGAAAAATGGTCGGCCCGACGCAGCTCCTGCGTCAATTGGATCTTGTAGGCGTGTACATTCAAATCCTTGTGGAGAATGCGGAGCAAACTGGTTCTCGAAATGCCCAATTCTTGGGATCGACTGCGTTGTTGATTGTTTCGACTCGTCTCTCACACTCTCCTTTACAACAGCAATATTTTCCGGTGTGCGAACGCTCCTTGGCCGGCCAGAGCCTGGCAGATTTGCCACAGAACCTGTTGCCTCGAATTTACGCAACAGACGACCGATGGTTGTTGAAACGTGTTTTTTATTTTTGCACCATTTTTGTAGTGCTCTTGAATAACTTTAATGCGGTCTTCAATCGAATACGACTCCATAGCGATCAATGGTAAACATTCAACTAACAAAATGACATGTTGGTGACAGAAAACAAAGATGGCGTCTATGTCAAATTGACGTTTACTTTCCTGCGTCCCTATTGGACAACCCTATAATAAATTCTATTTTCCGAGACAATTTTCCTGTTTCCTTTGCGACAGACCTTGCTCGAATTCATCATATTGGTTATCGCTACTAGTACGTCATTTCAGCAACCGCCCATGGTGACCATGGAAGATGCGTCCGAGCGTGAGGCGGAGACCTGCAGCGACTTGGCGCTGTCTCACGGTGGTCCACAGCAACAACGAGCCGGTCGACGAGGTGAACGCGGCCCGCGTGGCCCCCGATCGTTGGTGCAGCAGCAGTACCTGCGGCAGCGCTAGGCAGAAGGCATGCAGAGACTGCGCACGACTTTCAAGAGGTCGCGCACCCCCACGGCCAGCGAGATGAAGACCCACAGCAGCCTCGAGGTGCCCAAACAGGTGCGCAGCGCTTCCTTCGACGAGATCCAGCTGAAGGCGAAGAGGATGCAGGAGGCCAGGCAGTCGTCGGAGGAGTACTCGTCGTTCCTAGGACTGCCGCAAGGGGTTAGTAGCACCTTTCCCTCTATTTTTTGTTTAAGAAAAAAAAAACGTTCATCATATAATATTAGGTTCCTGAGGACGAAGAAGTCAAGTCCAAGATCATTTTTCACTATATGTGATCATTTCTAGGTGATCTCAATGCCCTCATGGTGAAATTCTCAGAAGCGAATAGTTCACTTACCCAGGTAGCTGAGAATTGAAATCTGGAATTACTTTGTCTCAGTAGAGGCATTGAAATGACCTCATTGCAACATTATTTCAGAGGCAGGTTATGCAGTCAAGCCTTTGCTAAATTTCATTCACAGATAAGATTTGGGCATTTACATTTAGATCTAAACCCAAAAATGTGAGCAACTTATGTTTATTATATATATACATAGCTCTACAGGCCTGAAAGGCCCCATGCTTTATTTGTAATTTCTTTCCATTTCTTCTTATTTTTACACATGAATTTCCAGTTTTGTACACCTAAGCTTCTCAGATCAGCTTCTACTTCGCTCTTCCATATTTCCTTCGGTCTCCCTCTCCTCTTCTTGCCTCCTATGCTGCTAGCTAACAATCATTTTTGGAATCCTATTTTCTGCCATCCTTTCTACATGCCCTAACCATTTCAACCTTTGTGCTCTTATATATTCTGTGATACTTGGTACTTTATACATATCTGCAAAGTCTTGCTTTGTTCTTCTTTCCCATACCCCATTGTTCTGTTTCCCTCCAAAATGTTTCTTAATACTCTTCTTTCCCACACTTCTAGGGTATTTATATCTGCCTTCCTCAAGATCCATGTTCCACAAGCAAATGGAACTGATGGTCTTATTACTGTTTTATATAATTTAATTTTTAGTTCATTAACTTGCTTTTCATGAGATGTTTCAGGCTATATAAACATCTATTTCCCTTCCCCAGTCTTGCTTTGATTTCTTCTCTTGTGCCCGGTTTTCTTGTGAATGTTGATCCCAAATAGACAAATTGATCGACCTCTTCAAAATTATATATTTTGTCACTGCCTGTTTTTACCTTTAGGCTTTCTTCTGTCATAAGATCATCATTTGTCCATCTCAATATTTAGTTTTTTCCTGATTTATTATTAGACCCTTTTCCTTTGGTCTCTTCAAGTGTTTTTAGTACTTGTATCAATTCTCTATTGCTACTAGCAACAATTGCAATGTCATCTGCGAACGCTAAACATTGGTGCTTTCTATTGAATAATAAACCGTTCCTATTTAAATTTGCTGCTCTGATTATATCTTCCAATAGATAGATGAATAAGACTGTTGACAACGGATCCCCTTGCCGCAACCCCACTTTTACCTTGAACTTTTCAGAATATTTTCCTTTAGCTTTTATTCTATTTTCCGTTTCCTCTTTTATCAAATCCCATTTTTCATCAACTATGTTTACTAGTGTCATAATATACTCGACTTGATTTCTTGGCAATGAGGTAGTCGTACATGCTTATGTCGTCATTTACTGCCCTATACTTCACTCCGCTCTGCTACTCTACCGTATTCAGTACTCTGCCTCCATCTCCCGGCCGTCGAGTTATATATATATATATATATATATATACTAAGTGACATATAAATCCGAACACCCAGTTTAAATGGTTTTATTTCAATAAAATTTTGTATAAGTACTTAATGAAGCATAATAAGTAAATGATAAAAATTTCAAAATGATTGCACTGCTTTAAAGCCCTTTGACCTTTAATAATGTGTGGATGCACCCTGATGTGCTACGCATTCTTCAACGCGCCTAGGCATGCTTCTGATCAGGTGGTCAATGTCCTCCTGTGGTATCTCATTCCAGGCAACCACCAACTCCTCTCGAAGTGTTTCTAGAGTCTGAGGAGGACGTTGCAAATTGAGCAATCTCCTACCCATCATATCCCACACGTGCTCAATTGGGGATAAGTCGGGAGATCTTGGTGGCCATGGTAACAATGTGACATCATTATGTTGAAAGAAGTCTATTGTGACTCTTGCAACATGTGGTCGGGCATTATCTTGTTGGAAAGTTGGATATACCAGGGTGTCAAGATAGGGTAAAAGATGGGGTTCTACAACTCCGTGGATATAACGCTGCGCGTTCATGCTACCTCTGATGAAGATTAAAGGTGACCTGGAACCATAAGCTATAGCACCCCAAACCATAACTCCAACAGTGTGATGAACATGTCTTTCAACAAAAAACTGTGGATTCCTCCTTTCACCACGTCGCCTTCTAACCCTGATACGACCATCGTGCATGCCTAAATAAAATCTAGACTCGTCGAGTGCCCCTTGCTCTTTGCGTACGGCCTTCTCGAATCCATGCCTGACAACACCTAACCACAGTGTCTACACTTCTTTGCACTGTGAATGCAATTGCCCGAAAATAAAGTCCAGCTTCCCGAAGTCCCACTATACAGCCCCTATCAAACTCACTAAGTTGACGAAATCGTACAGGTCTCCGTACTCTAGGCATCGTAACCGATCGTAAAGGATCTCAAGAACCAAAATCCGCCAACGTTGATTCTTTACTGCGGCTGAAATATTCATTTTTAGAGCGTTAGTGAATTAAAAAAAAGCAGTACAAAAACCGGAATGTCCAACTGATAAGGCTGAAAATTTTTTCACTTGTTATTTACAGTAAGATAAATACATTCACGAACTTTTATTAAAATAAAACCATTTAAACTGGGTGTTCGGATTTATATGTCACTTAGTTAGTTCCAATTTCTGCTTCGAGAAACATCACAAAGCGATATCTAGCATGTTGGAGATCACTTCGCGTCGATCTAGAAGGCGATCCACTGTAACAGTCCTCACAGACGCCGCCAGGCGGCTTGTGCGGTCGTGTAACAGCAGAGACCGGCAATTAAGCTCTGGCGAGTAGGAGACTCGCCCAACAGGTGACGCTATTTGTCACATTATTATTAAAATTAATAATATGTTGGGCGACCCCGCAGCTAAATACACTCCTCGGCATCGACAAAATGAGATGTTTGCTGTGGAAAAAATTCCTTGTTCCTGAAAAAATGTTCGAACTTTATCTTGAAACTACCTAAAAATGGACTCATCAAGACAAATCTGTGGCTGAAAAATAACAAATGGTTTGATTCCTTCGCTCATTTTTCTTAAATTCGTCCTAGTGTGACCTTGTGATGACCTTCAAATAATTCCATTGAAATAATTCAAAGTCAGCGACCGTCTATCATTTTTTTATTCGATTACGTACATCGTAGAATTAATGTTAAATGTTGAAGCATTGTCAGTTTCCCCTGCATATGTCAACTTTCTAACTCTAGCGTCGATAATTAGGAGACAAGTGAATAATCTTTTTTCAATGTATGTCTAATAAATTAAAAAAATTATCATTGATAACGAGTCTATTTTTTATTATTTCTTCTTTCCAGTTTCCAGATCAACGCTCGAAAAGCGTCGACTCTGGCGCCTCCGAGGAATTGGGCACCTATCTTGACGTAAACATAAAAAAATTCCAACGAAGGCGGTCGTCCACCAGAGCCTTGCCGGTCTGCGTGCACTGCGTTTACCTAGAGGAGTACAAAAAACAACAAGTCAGAAGAGATGAGCTGCAACCTTTCTCCTTCAGCATCAGCGAATCGTCCAGCGAATGCGATGAGGAATACACGATTCCGGAGTGTCCGATCAGGGTCACTCTCACTCCTGAGCATTCTTCCGAGCAAGTTCATTCGCCGCCACCGGTACATATCGAGCCACCTTCCGAGTTCCCTGATACTCCAATACGGGCCAGGAGGAAGTCCATTCAAAGACAGACGGCATTTATCAGAGAGCCTACCGAGTCCTCTTTGGAAAACCTCCTGGATGTCCCTTCGCCGGACATCTTCTCTGATGAGACCTCGGAAGGCACCGCGTCTGAAGGAGACCTGATCAACGTCACCAAGGAGCTAGACATAAAGGACATCTACCTTGAAGTACCAGATTTGAAAAGAGACAGGGCGGTTTCAGTTGACTCGTGTTTCCTCAATGTCACGCAGAACAAAACCGAAGAGATACAACATTCTGGAAACAGTTTGGAGATTCCCGCCGGTCCAAACGTACAACTGAGATCTGGATCCGTGGACGTGGTCTTCCCGACGGATGAACAGGCGAGGTACAAGGCTCTGGCTATGGCCACACCACCTGGATCTAGGTATGTCAAGCATGGTGGAAATGATGTTCGTGCATGTTTTGTTTGTATATGTGTCTTGTGTAATATATTGTTTTTTTTTGACACTTCATTTTATTTCACGTTTACTGGATATTATTTATCACCGGGACATTTTTCCCCGTTATGCTAGAATTTTGGCTTCCTGGTACTCCAACAACCTTGCTCAGAGTGTTAATCAGCCTTAGAAAGTATTTTGAACATCATATCGAATCTATCAAAGTGACCAATAACCAACCAATAACTTTTAGCTCTGTTCTCAAGATTGTCAGACTGAAGATGCTGAATTAAAAGTCTAAACACTCGGTGGGGTTGAACTACATGACTACGAAATGATACGCATTATCGAGAGATGAGGGTAATCCGTGTATTAACTCTCAAGGTAAAAGTATCACATTAGAAAAGAAAAGACTCGGTTGTTTATTTGAGTTACTCTGTCAGCCAAATGACTAACTATCGAGAATGAAATTGAACTGATTTCGTCATGATTAATAAAAAAATCAAGCTTCAATTCAAAGAATCATCTCATCGAATGTGGAAGAAGAACTAGAGGTAAATAGATAAGCTGTCCAAGTTCAATATGTTTGGATCAGATGGTGTTCATTACGTTAGACGTTCTAGTGGACAAAGATTGAACCCCAAGTACACTTTGCCCATTGTCAAACATGGAGGCGTGTCTTTTATGGTTTGGGGGCGCTTTTCGGGGTTTGGGATGGGATCTTTACATAGAATAATATAAGTTTGTATACACAGACATACTAAAGCATGTCATGTTACCCTATATGGAAGACAATATGCCTTTAAGATCAATCTTCCAGCGAGATAATGACCCGAAGCACACTTCAAATCTCGCAAAGAAATTTTTTCTGAATGAAAAAATACCAGTTCTCAAATGGCCTTCACAGTCTCCCGATATAAACCTCATTGAAAGTCTACGGAAATACTCAGATAGGCAAATACGAGATAAAAATTATTCAAACAAGGATGAACTTTTTGCCGCTTTAGAGCAAAAGTGGCGACAGATTGATGAATCTTATATCAAAAACTTCTACAATCTATGCCGAGACGATGCCAAGCAGCGATTGATAATAATGGTTATGCTACAAACTATTAACACAAACATGGTTGGTTTTCTATAATTCAATCAACTTTGCTTCTTTTTCCTATAATTGTTTTGCTTTGTCTATATATTTTTGTCCTTCATAGTTCCAGTTTTTTCAATTAATTTTTTATTGAAGGGAGTCTAATGAACTTATTTATGTATAAGTGAATATTATGCTATAACGAATTATGTATATAGGTTGGTGTATTAATAAAACAAGTTACTGTATCTATATGCTAATTATAGATATGTGTAAGCGTTACCATGTACCCTGATATAGTCCCACGGTACCCACAAGTACCTACGCCTAAGACCTGCGTGGTGACTCAAGTATAAAAAATCATCTAGGCTTTACCTCTCGAGACCTGACTTAATCAAAAAGTATACTCTTTTTGCTTAAGAATACTTGTTCCTAAGGAAACGGCTATTTACAAACGATATTCCCTCATCATCAAGTTCACATCTAAAATAAGATCGAGTGTCAAGCAAGATTTTCAAAGAACGGACGTAAATTAAAGTAATAAGCATTTGAATGCAGATATAAAGTATCAAACTTTTTCCTGTAGAATTGCATCTTAGTAATATTATTTCTTCGAAATAGTCTGCATCCAATTTGCACTTAATTTCAGACCCCATTTCGAATACTTGAATACTGAAAAGGCAATAATCATCTCTCCGTCTCATTCCCAATGCTCTAAGGATGTCACTAGTTTTGATTAGTTGCGAATAATTTTGTACCTGTTTATTTTACAGTTTTCAATCTAGTCTCCGCCTGTGTCGTCATCTATTCCTGAATGGCATTTTCTATCTATTTTGTCGTGTAATTCCTTGAACGTAATGAAATTAACGTTGCCTGTCCCATTAGAACTTTCCGACATCGAGGGTAAGAAACGGCGCCGTTGGCCAAAGTAGTAAAGGAAACTATCGATTGTCCTAGAATTTTGTGTCTCGTTTTGCACCTCCGAGACTATACATCAAGTTTTATGGAAGCCAACGTAGACATACCGATAACATTGTAGGATCTTAAGGAAGAGAACGTTTACTGCGATACGGATAGTTTGATATATGAACTGAACGTGCGTCGATAGCTACGAGAATAATAAATAATAATGTTTGTTGGAGGATTATTACATAATAAAATTGAAATATGAGTGTCCCATAAGTAACGCAAGATTTGACAGTAGGTGCTTTGTTTCGGTGAATAAAATATATTGTTTTATTGCTTTGGTATGCTTACTGTTCGCCGACTATGAAAATTCATGCACCCTTATAAGCAAAATGTTCATTTTGAGATACTAGATACAGAAACTGTTTGTTAGCTCAAGTTTTCAACATATAGTTTATCATCAAACTTATCAAAACACTGTCCTAAAATAATTAATAATGTCGACATCCAAGCCTCACTCACAAGTTGGATAAAAACCTTGGAATGTTCACCTAGAATTATGAGTGAATTATGCAGATTTTAGCTATTTTTAAAAAAATATAAATCTCATCGGAGGTTTCGAACATGGACAGAAAACGTCACGACATCGGAAAAAGTTATGGAGAAAACGATCGACTGACCTAGAATTTGGGTCTCGTTTCGCACTTCAGGGACTATACATCATACAGAGAACTTTTCTGGAACCCAACGTAGACAAACGGATATCCGGAGGGAGTAAACGTTTTTAAATATTTCAAATACAGTTCCCGGTAACTTCTATACTCCGATACTGACAGTTTGATATATGAACCAAACTTGCGGAGGCACGTGCGAGAGAAAAATAAAAGACAATCGAGGATTAATGTACGAAGTAGACCGAAATACAAACGGTATAACTAAAATTAAAAAAATTTCAAAAAAGTCATGGAGTTATGGAGGTTAATTCACCTATAGGGAAAAGTTAAAGTGCAATACAATGAATGAAAAAGTGCACAAACGACAATCTTCTGAATCGTTGAGATGTCTACATTTCAATAGAAGTTCGATGATGTTCAGCATTCCTTACTAGCAAGGTGATTGAATTTTCAGCTTGATTCGTCAAATGACTGGTTCAATAAAGTTTTGAGGATTCACGGTTTCTTAACCACTCATTGACACGCCTGGGCATCGTGCTGATAAGGTGGTTTGAAAAATTCTTGAATTCCAATAAACATAACTCAAATACCAAGCAAAATATCTAAACATCAAGAAACGAAGTTTTAGTGTTGATTCCAACGAAACCCTTTCACATCTCTGCCAGAAAACCAACTTGTAGTTTGGAACTTTCCTCGCAGATATATCGAGGTATTAAATATTTGAGTAGTTCTCTACTATACGGCGTCCCCCTTCGGGTTGATAAATATCCTACAAGATATGAATAGGTAATCCCGAAACACATACGACGGGGACTTCCAAAGGGAGTAGGTGACTTAGAGTAGCGAATAGCTTTGAGGAACTTTGTAGTCCGTAGTTGCGACATACTATGAGAAACTTTAGAACCTAATTTAACTTTGTGCCTTGTCTTTGAGATCGTATCAAGAAGAGCGAGCTACCTTGATAACATTTTCTAGTAAATGTAATGGAGAATTTCGCAAAAGTGAATATTTAGGTGAGAAAAATTAAATCGAGCAGAATAACTCACTACAATAGTTTTCTCTTCTATATAATCTAGTGTACGTTCTCCATTATACAGGGCGGCCAATATATAACTGACTAGCTTCTAGAGGCTGACATTTGTCTGATATTATTTTTCATACATGATTTCCAAATTTCAATAAAAGATTAAGATTTATAAAAAATGGACGTATTTTATTTCATTTCACAAATATTCAAGATACAGACCAGTCAGTTACATATCGGCCACGCTGTACATAAGTGACTTTGTTGTGGACATGCATGCTTAGACCAGAGCTTTGGTATCATCAGAACAACTGGGCATAATTATCTGCAAACACTCGTACTTTTAAGAAACAACAGTAAGGGTGGATTTCACCAGGATGGTCAAGTCAACAGTCCACGTATAGGGTTCCAATCAAGAAATTTTAGCAACTAATAGCTATGAAATGTTGAAAACAAAATACTGTCAAAGTATGAGATGTCAGCTTGTCGTTGAAACATCACCAGCTTATAGAAATTACTTATAATTTAGTCAAACTCTGAAAAAGTGTTCGATTTTTGAATAAAATTCATATTTTTATTTAATATTGTCAATTGTTGACATCTTGAGATTATTTTCTTCAACTGATATGCGATTTTACTGATTCAACATCACTGATCGTATGGTTTTTCCCATAAACCTCTTGCAGATAGCTATTAAGCACCTACTTGATGACAGGCTCTACCAAAAGATATTGCTCGTTTCCAAACATTCATTCATTTACTTGCCGTTCATCAGTACCATTATAGCACCGTCGATTGATATTCCCACAAAATTATTCAAGATTTTTGATAACCATACATCCATAGTCAAATATTTTTGGTTATTCAGGAACTCTAATATCTAGACGATAGATGCGGATACTTTTACAAATATCGATGTTTTAGGACCCAGAAATGCAGAATGTGCTACTTGTTTACATTTGGTATGGATTTCTAGATCATAAATTGGCAAAAATTATTTTTGATGTAACAAAAGGTGATGAACCAGTTGAAATACGTTTAATATCCTTTTTTTTGCAAATTAATAAAAATCGGTACATTTCTACAGGTACGTGTTATGTACAACACCCTGTCGTCAAAAACAGTGAAACATCCTACCAAATATAATAGCTAGAAAATCGACCTATTATTTCTCTCATTTCCATTGGTCTATTTAAATAACTGACCGTCTTTTGTGAAATGATAAAAATTTGGAATTCTATGAAAGTTATCCTAATTCTAAAGCACAAAGACATAATATTACATCTATAATGTACCCTT